CAGAACTTTTACCTGCTCATCGTGGGGCCGTATAGCTCTTAGGCTTCCGGGTGATGGTCGGATATAGGGCATCCGTGCTTAAAGCGTCTTTGCTTCTGGAAAAATTACGGACACACTCCAGAGTATATAGAATTTATAATTAGCCATGCAGTGAGTTTTAAATACCCAAATCAGTAGAGTGAGGGGGATATGCTTCCCAGTATATAATTCTATGTTTTGTTGGTTATGAAAATCTTTGGGAGTGGAACCATGCTTCGGTGTTTTTGTTGTGAAGGACTCCAAGGGAACAAGGGTGACTCCTCTTTTTAATACGTTTGACATAGATATAAATGTAAACAGAGAAGTACGTCTTCTAGAGGCACACGTTCGTTTAGGACAGAGTTGTCTGGTAGACAAATCATCTTATTGAGGTAGAATATAATTGAAGTATTACTCTCTGCCATTCACTTGCCAGTAATTTTTAAATTGGGGATTTTTTTCATTCCACCTCTACTATTTTGATAACTGTTTTCTACTTGATTCTTTTATATGTAGTCAGATATCAATACGAATCTATAGTATTTTTAAGCCTAACAGTTTCCACTGATTCCTACTCATTTCCATTTATTTTTTCAATGGAATCAGTTTGATAGAGCCCCAAGGTCGTTAAAATTTTAATTTCTATACTCTAAAATTTTAACAACTGTATCTACATTTAAGAGAACTCTCTTAAGATGTGATTAACATTTCCAAAATTCATATTATTTCTTTATGTATTCATTGTCTCCATGCCAGATTGGAAGCTCATGGTAATCAGGAGTCTACTTCCTTATTCATCATGTCCCAGTGCCTAGCACCAAAACATGGGAGATATACAAAAACAATTGTTAATTGAATGAACCAATTGATCCATCTAGAGGGAACATAAATATAGTCTATAACAATTTGTGAAATAAAATACATTTTATGTCACTATAAAATGAGATAGAGCCACTTCGTATACATTTTCTCTAGTCAAGGACAATGCCAATTGTTATGAGCAGAGAGGATTGCTAATAGTGTTGTGGATGTGTCCTCTTTGGTTTAGGTAGATTATGTATTATGGAAGGAAATTCAAATGATCTAGTAGTTTTTTTATGTTAAAATTATGAAGTTGAAATTATGCTATTTCAGATAATTGTACATTACTTCTCTTTGTTCTATAATGTGTTGATAAAAGTTAGCTGATTATAATTTCCAGGATGATCCATTTCCTCTTTTCAAAAATGAAACTTTTTATTGTTCTTGTCCTTTAATTATACCTGATTTTACTTATTTTATAGATAAAAGTGTTTAACATGCTAGCCTCCACATAATGCTTTAACTATATAAAATGTAAGGCTATGCTTATACATGAAAATAATCCAAATATTGCTTTGCATTTTAATTGCCTATGAGTTTATAATGCTTAAATATCCTTGTCACAGAAGGTAACCTGAGAAATTCTATGAAATTCTGATTTGCCAAAATTATGATGTATTTTAGTTAGTAAACCTTTAAATGGAAGATGGTCAGAGATAATTAAAAGGATTAACTGAAGTTTCCTCTAAAGTATCTACTTCCTTCAATCCTGAAACATATTTTCTGCTTTTGAGTTTAACACATTTTCTAAATGCTGGGGGTGGGGAGTTGAGGGTAAAATACATTGATCCTAAAGCTAAGGCCTCTACCACATCACCATTACCTTAATGTTTGTTGATAAATCTAGTTGGTTTTTTTTTTCAAATTCATTATACATACAGAAACACTCTGAATTGATTCCTTGGAATATCTGTGATACTAGTGAACCAAAGATTTAGGAAGAGCAATAAATTCTCCAGTGTGGTAACAGGTCCTCCAAAGGCTTCCTACCTATGGTAAAGTAGTATCACAATCAGGCTAATGCTGTATGTTTGAAAATTCCCTTTAATAAGCTTTCAAGTTCTTTATACTGTGGAGGTTAAAAAATTATGGGTGATGGGAAAAGTCCTGCTTATATTTTGGAGATAGAAAATTATATAAGGGTGAGGAAATAGCAAACACCCCAAGAAGTACTCTTATATACTCCTATATCAGTGTATAAACAGTAAAAAGCAGGTTAAAATATAGTCTTTCATATCAAGTATGATGCTTTCTATAGAAAAGAAAGACCAACCTAATTTACACTGGTTTAAAAATAAGACAAATCTATTATCTCAAAAACAAAGTAGTCTAGAGCAGCTCTATCCAGTAGAACTATAATGTGAACCTCAAATGAAAGCTACACATGGTATATTAAATTAGTAGTCACATTAAAAAGGCAAAAAGAAAAAAGTGAAATTAACTTCAATACCAATGTATTTAACCTAATCATCAAAAGTGGCAATTCGACATAGTCAATGTAAAAATTATTAATGATATATTTTACATTCTTATTTTGTACTAAGTCTTCAAAATTTGGTGTGTGTTTGACACTTAAAGCACATCACAATTTAGACTAGCCACATTTCAGGTGCTCAGTGGACACATGTAGTTGTTGGTTATTGTATTGGACAGTGCAATTCTAGAAGTATGGCTGTCTCTAGGTATGATTGAATCATGGCCTGGCACAAATTGTTTTTCTCTTCCTAATTTTGGAGATTGAGCATTTATTTATACTTTTTCTATTATTTTTTCATCTTTGCTTTCATCTCTTTGTAAACTTCCGAAGTCTGTAGTCGCAAAAACCCTACCAGCAGGGGAACTTCTGTCCTTGCCCATGGTAAGTAAGTTCAGAGGGTGGTTCCCCCCAACCAAAGTCTGTCTTTTGATCTGATTGCACTAGCTTAGGTCATATGCTTATTCCTGGCTCAATAATAGTTACCACTTTTATGTTCAAAAGGGTGGGGAAAAGGTGGTATTTGGTAATGTCTGGAGACATTTTTGGTTGTTACAATTGTGGGAGTTGGGTCTTTTGGCATCTAGTGGCTAGAGGCCAGGGATGTTGTTAAATATCCTAAAATACACAGAACACCTATCCCCCCACGACAAAGAGTTATCTGGCTTAAAGTAGTATCAAAGTTGAGAAGCCCTGCCCTAAGCTTATTATTTTTAGCCTGTATTTCCAACTAAACACTGACAAGTGGAGTAAGATTACCATTATTAATTCAGATCTCTCAGTACCTGCCACAACTATGAACAGGTTCAGCTTTGTCATAGGTATGCAAAGGGTGAGCCCCTAAACTTAAAAGGAAATGTTAGAAGAAAGGAAAGGGCATGGGGAACTGTCATAGTCCATCTGGGCTGCGGTAACAAAATACCGTAAACCAAATGGCTTGTCAGCAACAGAAATTTATTTCTCAGTTCTGGAGTCTGAGAAGTCCAAGATAACGGCTCAGGCAAATTTGGTGTCTGGTGAGGGCAGACTTCCATATTCATAGACTACAGTCTTTGCTGTAACCTCACATGGTAGAAGTAGTGTGGGAGCTCTCTGCAGCGTCTTTTACAAGGGCATTAATGCTATTCACGAGGACTCTACCCTTATGACTTAATCACTTTCCAAAAGCTTTACCTCCAAACACCATCACATTGGGGATTACGTTTCAACGTATGAATTTTGGGGGGACACAAATATTCAATCTATAAAGGCAACCAATAGTTTTCATGAAAGAGGTAAGTATTTGGGGGATTATAATAGTATATATGTAATTCCAAAAATATACAAATGGCCAATAAGCATAAGAAAAGATGCTCCTCAATATCACTAATCATGGGAAATGCAAATGAAAACAACAATGAAATACTACCTCATACCCATTAGGATGGCTACTCGCAAAAAAAACAAACAAAAAACCAAAAAACAAAATAACAAATGTTGACAAGGATGTGGAACAATTGAAACCCTTGTGCCCTGTTGTTGGGAATGTAAAATGGTTATAGCCACTATGGAAAACAGTGTAGTGGTTCCTCAAAAAAATTAAAAATAGAATTGCCGCATGATCTAGCAATTCTACTTTTGGATGTATACCCAAAAGAATTGAAAACAGAGTCTCGAAAGATATTTGTATACCCATGTTCAGAGCAGCATTATTCACAATAGCTAAAAGTTATAAGCAACCCAAATGTCTATCAACAGATGAATTGATAAGCAAAATGTGGTATATATATATATACAGTAGAATATTAGTTAGCCTTAAAGAGGAAGAAAATGTTGACATATGCTCCAACATGGATGAACCTTGAGGATATTATGCTTTGTAAAATAAGCCAGTCACAAAAAGACAAATATTGTCTGATTCCACTTATATGAGGTATTTTGAGTAATTAGAGTCATAGAGACAAAAAGTAGCAGGGTGTTTGCCAGAGGCTGGAGAGATGGGAAAATGAGGCATTATCATTTAATGGGTATAGGTATCAGTTTTACAAGATGGATAGAGTTCTGGAAAATGATGGTAGTGGCAGTTGCATAACATGAATGTATTTAATACCACTGAGCTGTATACTTAAAGATGGTTATGATGGTAAATTTTGTGTCATGTTTATTTTGCCACAATAAAAATGTTATATATGTATTTAAAAAGTATAGGTAGATATCAAATATAAATTCTTTAAATCGGTAATTTTATAATGCATTTACTGGTAATTTAAAATTTTCAACAGTATTTTCTACTTTTTTAGAGTGAAAACTTGTTTTATATTGTAAAACTTACAGTGAGAATTTCTTATAATGTAAATTTTTTTTCACAGTGGGTAATTCTTTGAGTAAAAAGTTTTCTAAGAAAAAAGAGGCTTCAGCATATCTTCTTAAAAACGCAATTTCAAGAGGGAAAATTCTCTAAGAACTTTTATTTTAAGTCTCTGAAATTTAATAAAATAAAACTTTTGTTTTAAATTTTTGAAAAGACTATTTTATTAATATTTTGTCAAAAAGAAGGAACGACTTCCAGCCTTTGTCTAAACCAGCTGGTGTTCTAAAATAGGTCCCAGAAATAAAGCAAATGCAGTCTCCTTGAGAGGACTTTCGGAAATAACAGGCGGTATATACCATGCTGGATCTCTAGGTGCCGCTGTCGGCCAATCCGTGGGTGGAGTGACGCAAAGCAATCCACTGGCGACTGACGCCACGATACCCAGTGTTTTGAGAAACATTTGGAGCAGATTCTGCACGCCATCTCTCCTGCAATCTGCTACAAATATCTGGGTCAGGAACGTAAGGATGCTGAATGACCTACAGTGAGGCGCTGCCTTTTCTTTCCAGGACACCTTTGTAATCCAGGAGCAACCGTATGGTAGCGAGGTGCATTCGGATCTGAGAAGCAGCATTGAGAAGAGAGGAAGAAATCCGCCATAGAGAAGGAGCGGGATGGGGAGGGGGGCGGGAGGGCGCAGGAAGTGCTGTTTCCCTTCCTGCTATCTTCGTTCACCCTAGTGAATTACGAAGCAGTTGCGTTAGGAGATTCCGGAAGAGCCGGCCAAAGGTTTTAAAGTGGAGAATCTCGCCAAAGATCTGCATCTCAGTGACCAGAACCATGGGTGAGTTCTGAGAAAACTCTCTTTACCGCCAGCGAAGAGAGCAGGGACGAACTCTAAAATGACAGAATAGATCTTTCGGATATGCCAAAGAAAGTCCCTAGGCCCCTTGAATCTCAAACCTTCACTGGAAATCCTATAAATGCTTTTCATATAAATGTATTCATCTTGGATTTAAATAACATGGCTTTTAAGGCAGACGTTTTGTTTTGAAATTTCTAGAAAACAACTTAATGAGAACAAAATTTACTCCTAAACCACAGTAGATTTGGACACTGCAAGTAATTCTCTATGAATTTACTAGATCAGTTTCAGTAACCATCTTTCCTACCCCCAAAAGTAAAAGGGAGCATTAAGGCAGTAAGTACTCTGGTTGCTATTGGAAGAATCTGGACCAGAAGATCAGATCTGCCACCACTTAGTAGTGGGGAGGGACAGAACAGCTAAGGGCAAAATTTAGGTCTTGGATGCCAATGCCACTCCTGAGCCACAAGAAGCACCTGCAGGATACTCTGCCCACCATCCTCTCTGAATCTTCAAGTGATCCTCCACTGACCTAGATGACAGCCTTAGGGTAGTGTTCTCCTATACTTTCCACACAATCTCACAGGGCATGCAGAATGGTGTTCAATAATGACAGCACCATCTTTGATTTTAAAGAGTAACAGTCATATCATGGAGTAGAAGAGAAGACTGGAGGCAGTTTAAGGGCCCATTTCAGAAACCTGGCTGAAATGGAGGTTGAGAACTATAATGCAATACAGGTGACTTTCGACTGGGTGTCTAGTCCTATTAGGGGGCAAGAACTGTGGTTGCCTGACCAAAACAAAAGGACTCAGAGACTTACTTAAATGGAGAAGTGAAAGGTATTGTAGAGAGTCATAAACATGGCCAAACAATTCACCTCTAAGAATTACTCTGTAGTTTTTTTATAAGCTATTGACAGATGGAATTCTAAACTGGGAAGTACAGTTTCACCATCAGAGTCATGGACAAGGACAAGCTGTCCCTCTTCTCCTTGAATATAACCCACATCAATGAAAATGCTATGGTTTTCCAACAGGCCTCTTATATGATCCAGGAGACCTGGAACACCCACCCAGAGCCTCCATCACACACTTTAGTGCTTCTGACGTTGACTTGGGGCCTTACCTGCCTCCTATTTCTTCTTGACGCTGACCTAGCACTGCAGATCTTGTTATCCGACACGTGGGTGAATGCAGAGCACAGTGGTGTTCACTGCAGCCTACCTTTCTGACTCTGTGGGTTCATGACCAGGGTTTGACTGGGTTCAGTGTCATCCTGAGTCTGTCTGTACTGGTGGACCACCACCACAAAAACACACAGAGAACTATGTGCCAGGAGCTGCAGCTACAAGTCATAGCCCTCTTCAATGGGCACCACACACTGTGTGGCCTGGCTACCTCGTCACTAACTTGAACGCAATGCCTGGTTATCCTATAACATGCTTCAGATCACAAATTGCAACTCTTCAACCTGGGTGTTCACAAGAGTGGGATGCACACTGTGGTGCCACAGGCCACAGAAACACTGCTCTCCATGGCTTTCAGGTCACCTGTGCTCAGTGGCGACAGTTGTCATACTGCACCTGGTCTTTGCTTACAGTTCACAGGAGTTGCTGCAGGATCACAGTGACCACCTGGCACCTGCTGCCAGGCAGGCAGAGCTATAGTTTTGCCTAATAGTGGCCTTGGCCATGATCTTGGTGCACTTCCTCCTTGTGGTAATCTGGCTATTGCCCTGTGCCTGCAATGCCCCTCCAGCCCTGCTTTCAGTCTGGTCTCTGGTCCAAGCCTGGATTTGAAGTTATTCCCACTTCAGCGAGAGAAATTTACCCTATTCCTGCAATCAATGTGTGGCTTTAGATATTGCAAAATCTTAATTTCTTCAAGTTAACTCAGGAAACATCTTTCAACTGGATATTCTCTGTAGTGCCAGCAATGAAGCCTTAAATATTACATTGGATTCAAATGTATACATGTGAGTTTTAACACTTTTATTTTGTAACTATCCTATTATAAATCAGTTCTTGTTTTTCTTATTGGTGGGGGAGGGGATTTCTACAAGTTGTACATGCTAGTTTTAATATACATTTTGATTTGTCTCATTAACCTGGACAGTTCCTTTGGAGAAGGTTTTGTGCCTATGAATGTGGATTCTGAAAAGTTGTGTTTCCTGCTAGAGTCTTTTCCTTGCAATACTGAAGGAGGTTCAGTGCATTTTCAAGTTTCTGCCCTTAACCTCCATACACTTGCCTTTAAGAAGCTGAGAAACTGTAGATTTTGTTACACAAGAACAGAAGTTCTCCTCCTAAGAACTATTCTTGTGGCTTTTGAGTGTTTCCTTTCTTTCCTCATTGTCCAGATCCTATTCAGTTAGTTTCCATGGGTTTGCTGCCAATATCTCGCCCATTTTGTTTCTGAAAAATGTCAAACTCTGGAATGCTGATAACATTCTTCCCTAACTTTGGGATAGAGACAAATGAATCACTCTAAGCCTGAGATATTTTAGTTGGCAACCTTTCACTAATTTTGCAATAAATAGAAGAAGGAAGGCAATCTAGTCTAAAAATCCTGCTATTTAAGAAAACCAACTTGGAGAAATTGAGTGTGCTTGTAGGACAATACATATTATCCTAATAGCCTTCTAAAAATAAAGATGCAGAGAGAGGGGAAAAAAATGGAATAGATAATAGAGGCTCTGTTCATCTCTCTGGCAACCAAATCAAAGTTGTGCCAGAGACAAGAAACAAACAGCAAGGAAAATCGCCTGGGATCTAGATGAGCAAGCCATACAACTAGGGAGAAATCTAAGAAATCACCCTGCAATAGCAGAAGGTGACAAATCAGACACTGAGCTTGTCCTTCATGGTTCTACAAGATATCCCAGTAAGACATCTGAAATGAGCCACAGTGAAAGTCTATGATTACTATGAGACAGATGAGTTTGCAGTTGCCGAATACAATGCTCCGAATACAATGCAGCAAAGATCACGGAAATAATGCCTGAAGACCAAGACAATAAAAACTGCTCTGCTGGAGTCCCTGTTCCACAGACTCAGGTCTCCGTGGAAGAAGAGTTTTTGTATCTCTGAAGCCTTAATGAATATATTTTTTTAGTCGAAAAATAAAAATAAAGATGTAGCCTTTTTCTTTCCAATTTTGAAGAATAATATAACTACCTCTTGTGTCTCTTAAATTTGAAGTCTATATTAGACATTTATTTGACATTTTCTGCTGAAATTCCAAGAAATCAACATTATTTTATTCAAAATATATTACCTTTGTGTAAACTAAAAGTCTTTTAAAAAACCCAGATTAAAGGTCTTTTAAAATTCACATAATACATAGACACTTCAGAAAAAGAGGAAAAAGGATAGAGTAAAATATATCCTTCAAAATTTCAAGTTTCTGATAAATATTCAAAGCATAATAGAGAAGAAATAGGACATTCCAATTTTTAAAAGTCTAGCTTGTATTCTAAAAATTTATTTTTCCCTTTGATATTTTTCATCCTCCAGTAACAGGTAAGTTGCTCTTTTATGTGAATTATCAAATGGTCAAGATATACTACAGAGTGGGGGGATGGGTTTTTTTTCCTTTGCGGTAGTCCCTGAATAGCATACAGGTAAAGCAGATCGCTTGGAAATCCTGGGATTCTACTGTATTGCAATTTAATAACATTTATATGTGATTAAATGAACACTGTAGTTTCTCCTTTTCATACATATATTGTACCATGCTTAACTATTTCCTTGACGATAAACTAACATTTAAGAATAGAGCAGATTAATGAGAAGTTATCTAAGAGTGCAGTAACTGGTTAGGACTCTAGGCGCCGCTGTTCACCAGTCTGGGAGACACAGGCGGATGGAAAGCGTACAGCTCCACCCCACCCCCGCCCTTCCCCCCAAAAGCTTCTTAGAACCTCTATCACCGCCAGATTGAAAACAGTCTCCCTGAGGCTGCCGAGATCCTGCTCCTGGACCACTTTCTGCTCTGAATTCTCCTGAATATTCAGTTAAGACTCAGAAGAGCAGAGAAACAATACCCTTAGTACTGGACTGGGAGAAAACTGTGAGGCGAGAAAGCAATGGCGATTTGGGTGAAGCTGCCCGGCTGCAGCGGGCTGGTCCTGCTGTTCCTTTTCCTGGGGCTGTTGTTGGAAGTGCGAGCTGGGAAGATCCGCTACTCGGTGCCAGAAGAGACAGACGAAGGTTTCTTTGTGGGCAACATTGCCAAAGACCTAGGGCTACAACCCCAGGAGCTGGCGGAGCGGGGAGTACGTATCATTTCTAGAGGTAGGTCACACCTTTTTGCTCTGAATCCGAGAAGCGGCAGCTTGGTCACCTCAGGCAGGATAGACCGGGAGGAGCTCTGCGCTCACAGCGAGCGGTGTCTGGTGAGTTTTAACATCTTGGTAGAGGATGAAATGAAGCTTTTCCCCGCTGAAGTGGAAATAATTGATATTAATGACAACACTCCCCAATTCCAGTTAGAGGAAGTGGAATTTAAAGTAAATGAAATTACCACTCCAGGTACCAGGATCCCTCTGCCTTTTGGGCAAGACCTTGATGTGGGTATGAATTCGCTCCAGAGCTACCAGCTCAGCTTCAACCCTCATTTCTCCCTGGATGTGCAACAAGGAGCTGATGGGTCCCAACACCCAGAGATGGTGCTGCAGAGTCCCCTGGATAGGGAAGAAGAATCTGTCCACCACCTTCTTCTCACTGCCTTTGATGGGGGCAACCCAGTCCATTCAGGAACCCTCCGCATTCGTGTTCAGGTGGTGGATGTAAATGACAACCCTCCATCATTTACTCAGGCTCAGTACCACATGAGTGTCCCAGAGAATGTGCCACTTGGCACTCAGTTGCTCATAGTAAAAGCCACTGACCCAGATGAAGGAGCCAATGGGGAAGTTACATACTCCTTTCATAATATAGACCACAAAGTAGCCCAAATATTTCAGCTGGATTCTTACACAGGAGAAATATCAAATAAAAAACCCCTGGATTTTGAAGAATACAAAATTTATCCAATAGAAATTCAAGCTCAGGATGGTGCAGGCCTCATGGCCAGAACTAAGGTGCTGATTAAAGTTCTTGACATAAATGATAATGCTCCAGAGGTGACTATCACCTCTGTTACCACTGCAGTCCCAGAAAATTTTCCTCCTGCGACCATAATTGCTCTTATCAGCGTGCATGACCAGGACTCTGAAGAAAATGGTCACATTACATGTTCCATTCCTGGAAATCTACCCTTTAAATTAGAAAAGTTAGTCGATAATTATTACCGTTTAGTGACAGAAAGAACACTGGACAGAGAACTTACCTCCAAGTACAACATCACAGTAATAGCAACAGATCAGGGAATTCCTTCTCTATCTACTGAAGTGCACATTTCACTGCAAGTGACAGATGTCAACGACAACCCCCCTGCCTTCCCCAAGGACTCCTACTCTGTGTACATTTCTGAAAACAACCCCAGAGGAGCCTCCATTTTCTCTGTGACCGCCCACGATGCCGATAGCCATGAGAATGCACAAGTCACTTACTCCCTGGCCGAAGACAACCTTCAGGGGGCACCTCTGTCCTCCTATGTCTCCATCAACTCAGACACCGGCGTCCTGTACGCGCTGAGAGCTTTAGACTACGAGCAATTCCAGGAACTGCAACTGAGAGTGACTGCGCGTGACAGCGGGGACCCACCGCTTAGTAGCAATGTGTCACTGAGAATATTCCAACGTCCCTGAAATCCTGTACCCCTCGCTCCCCAATGATGGTTCCACTGGTGTAGAGCTGGCACCCCGCTCTGCGGAACCTGGCTATCTGGTGACCAAGGTAGTGGCAGTGGACAGAGACTCGGGCCAGAACGCCTGGCTGTCCTACCGCCTGCTTAAGGCCAGCGAGCCAGGGCTCTTCACCGTGGGGCTGCACACGGGAGAGGTGCGCACGGCGCGAGCCCTGCTGGACAGAGACGCCCTCAAGCAGAGCCTGGTGGTGGCCGTCCAGGACCACGGCCAGCCCCCTCTCTCGGCCACTGTCACTCTCACCGTGGCCGTTGCTGACAGCATCCCAGACGTCCTGGCCGACCTGGGCAGCCTAGAGATTCCGCATGACTCTGACGCCTCAGGCCTCACCCTGTACCTCGTGGTGGCAGTGGCCGCGGTCTCCTGCGTCTTCCTCGCCTTTGTCATCGTGCTGCTGGCGCTCAGACTCAGGCGCTGGCACACCTCACGTCTGCTCCAGGCTTCAGGGAGTGGTTTAGCGAGTATTCCCGCCTCACACTTTGTGGGCGTGGATGGGATGCGAGCGTTCCTGCAGACCTATTCGCACGAGGTGTCCCTCACGGCGGACTCGCGGAGGAGTCACCTGATCTTCCCACAGCCCAACTACGCAGACACGCTCATCAGCCAAGAGAGCTGTGAGAAAAGCGAGCCTCTTCTGATAACTCAGGATTTACTTGAAGACAAAAAGGAGATATTTTCTAAGGTAAACTTTTTGTAGTAAATCTACCTAGACAAAAATAATCTCTGAGTTTACTTACTTCTTTTCACTCTTTACTACTACCAGTTCTTCTATTTCCCATATATCTTTGTAGATTTCTATTTACAGATCCTGAGAAATAATTATAAAGTGTTTATATCCAGTATGTTGATAATTGTTTTTCATTGAAAATTAGACCGTAATTAATTATAAAGTAGGACGGTATGTGAGATGAAGAGTATGTGTGAGATGCCATCTCCGTTGTGGAAAGAGCACTCCCTCAAGGAGATCTGGCTTCCAACCTTCTCTTGCTTGCCTCTGGCCAAATAATTTTATTTTTTTGGGTTTTCATTATCTTATCTGGCAAGGATAGAGTTTAAATATAAAAGGACCACCAATATTTATGTGACTAATACTATTATCAGGTTTCCTTAAGTTATAAACACCTCCTAATTTATCCCTAAATTTAATGTAGATGTCAACTGGAAAGTGTCAGGGTGCTGTTTTATTTTGGGACATTTAAAGAGGTAAAGAAGGTCTAAAATAGTATCTTTAGTTGTGTTAGTATAAAATTATGGAAATCTATATGAACTGCAAACTTAATTTATTATTGAATACCTTAGTTTTTTGTTTAATCTTTTATTTTGAGATATTTTGTGCATGCTGAAGAATACTTCAAATGTTTAAGTTGCTTATGAAATGGAGTCATAAAATGAATGATAGAAAATTTACTATGCAATTTGAGAATTAGTTCTGAAGCCTCCTGATTTGTATATTATTTCTGTAATGGAAATGACTAACAAAAATCAAGTATATATCCCATTTTAATGTATATGCTAACTCTTCACACACACACAAAAATGCATTATAGGGGAATAAGTCCATGCTTTGATTTACTTATTCTGCTCCAATAAGTTACAGAGATATATAAAATATAAAAAGAGGAAAGCGAGGTGGTTCCATAGAGTAGGTCCTGGATTCAAGCCCCAGCTGAGCCACGGCCCATACCCCGGCACCCCAGACCACCTGAGTGTGCCAGGCCCCATGGGAAGAGACACCCCGCCTTCAGAGATCCAGTTCTTAAAGGGAGATGGCAATACTAAGGGGTGAAAGTGAGTAGGGGAGATTAAAAAAATAAAAATAAAATAAAATGATTTGTAAAAATAAAAGATACATCTTAAAAGATAAAAAGAGGAAAACAAAAGCATAATAAGGCACAAATAATGGACCAAAAATGAAACAGAAAGTAAAAATGAAACAGAAAGTAAAAATGAAACAGAAAGTGGTGGCCAAGCTAAAGCTGTGGGAGTTCTTAAGAGAGTTCTAGTCCTAGTTTTGATTTAGATGCCACCACTGAAGGTCAAGAGAATGTTCCAGAAATGTAGTAGGGACTAATGGGGACAAGAGTGCTTCAGGCTAAACAAGGGACCTGAGCTAGGCTTTCTGTGTGAATCCAAAATAAGCAATTAGGCCCCTCAGCTAGTTAAAAAGGAGAAATCACATAAAAATGCTACCTACCAATTCCTATATGGTCTTAACTGTTGAAAGCTGAAGATAGACCAAGGGAGAGTGGTGGACATAGGTGCTGGTTTCAGAAAATGAACACTGAGTCTCTCAAACATGAGCTGTTATAGTCAAAACACTGAACCCAGGAGGGAAGAAGAGAAGGAGAAGAAGTGGGATGGGGGAGGGAAGACTCTTCCACTTAAAAGAAATGTACAAACCAAGATGATGAAACATGTTGTCTTATGGAAATTTATTGTTGCTAATGAGAAATTTCTGCAACAAATTGTCATTATTTTTTAGGTAATCTTTGTTTTCTCTCTGATGGCTTTAAATTTTTTTCTCTCATTCCCGCTGTATGTCTAAGTGTGGATTTTTATTTTTATTTTTATTTTCTATTTGGTTCCAAAAGTATACTCTCAATAACATAGCTTATTATAATCTAAATTTTTCTCTGTTCTTAAAATTTTGCATCTGAGTATATATAAATGAGCTAAGTTTAGCTGTTAAAACAAAGAGATTACCAAGTTGGATGATTTTTAAAATCTGTCTGTATTCTGCTGACAAGATACATGCTTAAAACAAAGATATGCAGTATTTATCTTTATTTTCAATATTTCAGTGTAATTCACACACATTCACAAAGTAAAGCAGTCATATCAATATTAATATACCAATAAAGTGGTGTGTAAGGCAACAACATTAATGGTGATTTTTTAAAAATGAACTAATGATAATTATAAAAAGAACAGATAGTCAAAAGGATATAAAAATTATGAGTTCCCATCACCAAACAACACAGCTTTGGAAATAATATGAGGATAACCCAATTCTGTAAGAAACAATAGATCCCACAGGTAGAAAATTACTAAATATGCAAACGATTTGAACAACAGAATCTTTAAGAGTGATCTAAAAGATCTGCATAGAATCCTATCCTATACATACACAACAAATATAGTTATTCTTTACATGAGCATATGGAAAATTACAACAACTTACTACATAGTCATTACAAAAAAAAAGGCACAGCAAATTTCAAAGTACCAATAATATACATGCCTTATAACCTATACTTAAATCACAAAGCTAGGGGTTGGGGGAAATAGAGAGAAGTTGATAAAAAGGTACGAACTTTCTATTATAAGAAATAAGGTGTGAGAATTTAAGACAAAAACCTGGAAAAGGAGAAAGAGAAGGAAAAACAGAGAGACTGGGGAAAATAAAACAACTTGATATGAAGCAAGAAATGTGAGTGGGAAATAACATACAGAGTTAAACTAGATATTGTCAAAGACGAAGTAACAGAGATAAATTTTTAGAGAACTGCAATGAGGATGTGAAAAGTTATTTAATGAGACTCAAAAGCATTAAAACAATGTTAATGAAAAGATTTTTTTAAAACAAACTGGAGGCTCTACTAGAAAACATGATGAGTTGGTATCAATTGTTCTCAATAAATATTTCATCAGTGTTCTCAGAGGACTGGATAAAAGAAAAAAGGAAAAAGATCCAATGGGGAAGAAGCCTTCAGCAGGCCATAACTGAGAGTGGAAGTGGGCAATCTCACTTAAGAATTCAATATCTTGAATAAGATATTATCAAATCCTGTCCACTAAATATTTTTAAAATAATGTTTATGGTTTATGACCATGTAGGATTTACTTCAGGGATGCAAAGATATTTCAATAATATCCTTCAATTTAATAGTATTAATCTCCATATTGAGATGAAAGATAAAAAGCCATATGTTCATTTCAATGGAGGTATAATAAAGTTCTTGAGAACATTCAACACTTGATTGAAATATTTGAGCATACTAAGAATTGAAGGAAATTTCCTGAACCTGATAAGGAGTATCTATCAACAACTTATAGAACTACCCAAAATAATTTACAGAGTCAATGCAATCCCTACCAAAATGCCAAAGGCTTTTTTTTTTTTTTGCAGAAATAGAAAAAATTCATCCTAAAGTTCACATGGAACCTCAAGAGATCTCAAATAGCCAAAACAATCTTGAAAAAGAACAAAGTTGGAGGTTTCACACTTTCTGATTTCAAAACTTACTTCAAAGGTCCAATAATCGAAAAGCATGATGCTGGCATAAAGACAGGCTTATAGACCTGTGGTATAGAATAGAGAACCCAGAAATAAACTGTCACATATGTGGTCAAATGATTTTCAATAAGGATGCCAAGACTGTTCGAGGTGGGGGGGAGAGGGATTTATCTTTCAACACATGGTTTTGAGAAAACAAGATATCCCCATGCAAAAAAAAAAAAAAAAATGAAGTTGAACCCTTACCTTAAACTATATATAAAAATTAACTCAGAATAGATCAAAGATCTAAACAAAAGAGCTAAAACTGTAAAACTCCTAGAAGGAAACATTGGGGGAAAGCTTCATGACATTGGATTTGGCAATGATTTCTTGGATGTGACACTACAAGTACAGGTAACAAAATAGATAAATTGGACTTTATCAAAATTTAAAACTTTTGTGCATCAAAAGACAATATCAACAGGGTGAAAAGGCAGCTCATGAAATGGGAGAAAATATTTGCAAATCATATGTTTGATAAGAATTGATATTCAGAATGGTGACACTACAAGTACAGGTAACAAAATAGATAAATGGACTTTATCAAAATTTAAAACTTTTGTGCAGCAAAAGACAATATCAACAGGGTGAAAAGGGAGCTCACAAAATGGGAGAAAATATTTGCAAATCATATGTTTGAAAAGAATTGATATCCAGAATATATAAAAAATGCCTACAACTTAACAAAAACAAAACAAACAACTGAATTTTAAAATGAGCAAAGGGCTTTAATAGACTTTTCTCTAAAGAAGATAGACAAATGCCAAATAAGCACATAAAAAGATGCTCAACATCACTAATCATTAGGGAAATGCAAATCAAAACCATAAAGAGATACCACTTCATACCCATTAGGGATGGCTACTTTTTAAAACAAAACAAAACAGAAAATAAGTGTTGGTGATGATGTGGAGATGTTGGAACCTTTGTGCATGGCTGATGTGAATGTAAAATGATTGCTGTGGAAAAACAGTATAGTGATTCTTTTAAAACAAATTAAACAATTATTGTATGAGCCAGTAATTCCACTTCTGGATATATACCCAAAAGAAATGAAAGTAGGAATATGAACATGTATTTGTACACCCCTGTTCATAGCAGCATTATTAACAATATCAAAAAAGCAGAAGCCACCCTGGTGTCCATGGCAGTGGATAAACAAAATGTGGTGTATACACATAATGGAATATTTTTATGCCCTAAAAAAGGAAGGGATCTTTGACACATGCTATGATATGAATGAACCTTGAAGACGTTATGCTAAGTGAAACAAGCCATCCACAAAAAGACAAATAACTGTACGATTCCTCTTATATGAAGTTCTTAGAGTAGTCAAATTTACAGAAACAGAAAGTAGAATGGTGGTTGCCAGGGTTAGAGAGGAGGGAGGAATGAGAGTTAGTGTTCAGTGAGTACAGAGTTTCAGTTGGGGAAGATAGAAAAGTTCTAGAGGTGGATGGTGGTGATGATTGCCTAACAATGTGAATACACGTAATGCTACAGAACTGTATACTTAAAAATGTTTAAAATGGTCAATTTCATGTTACATATATTTTACCATAATTAAACAAAAAGAAGTCCAGTACTAGCTGTTAAGATCATGGTAAAAAAAAAGAAAAAAAGCATACGTGGACAAGCTATGTGTAAAGGGAGAAGACATGAGACTCCATAGAGAGAAAATCGCCCAAATGTCCCAGCACACCCGCTGAGCGCAGTCCCTAGATGATGCTGAATGAGTAACGACCAGCAAAACCAGCAGAACTGAGATAGATGATCCCAGACAGATTAAAAATTGTTGAACAAATGAAACCATGTCATTTTAAGACACTAAACTTGGAATGGTTTATTATACTCAATGATAACTGAAGTGATATGAGTACAATTTGACCCAGCAATTCCATTTTCAGGTTAATATCCTAGACTTAGAGAGATGTGTACATGAGAAGAAATGTCTAGATAGGTTCACTGCCTCATTGTCTGCAATAGTAAAGAAAGAAGAAAGGGAGAGAAAGAGACAGGGAAGCAAAAGAAAAGAAATAACCTAATATCCCTCTATATTAGGAAAATGAATTTTTACATTTTTCTTATAATGGAATATTATACAACAGTTAAAATAAACATTATCAACATAAATAATTCGCAAAAGTGGAATGTTGAAGATGGAGTGCATTGCAGAATAAATATAGCGTGCTATTATTTGAATATGAAATAGATAAAAGTGTTCATGGATGCATATATGTGCAGTAAAAAAATGCATGGGAATAATAAGTGCTCTATTCTGGTTGGTGATTATTGCTATAAAGGCAGTAATAGGACTGTTTTAAAGGAAGAGTACCAGGGGAATTCACCTTTTTCTATAGGTTGTTTTTAAAAATTGACCCCTAACAACCATAGTAATGATTGCTCAGGCTTTGTCTATGGTGAATTGTCTATGGTGAAAGCTTATTTAGAAACATACTTACATAGTATTAAAGCATCTTTCTATAAAATATTAATTACAAAGAGAAAACTAATTTTACTGGAGATACTAATAGAGAAACCTAGAAGTAACCCCCTTAACCAAGTGATCAATGTTAACATCAGCAGTAATGGGACAAAGATATATTGTGCCTCCTGATAAGATGCACTTAGAAGGCTACAACATTTCTGTAGCATTCCTTTACATAACCTGAATCTAATCATGGGGGGAAATCATCAGACAAATCTTAATGAGGGGTATTCTACAAAATAACTGACCACTACTTTTCAAAAGAAGTGTCAAGTCATAAAAATTTTTAAAAGGCTGGTAAACTGTCTCAGATTAACTGTTTAACTAAAGAGAAATCTTTAAAATATTGTGTGATCCTGAACTGGATCGTAGACCAGATTTTCCCCCTTTTGCTATAAAAAGGCATTATTGTGACAACTGGCAAAATTTGACAAACATTTGTAGATAAGATAATAGGACTATATCAATTCCAATTTACCGACTTTTATTGTATTTTGGTAATGAGGGAATGTTATTGATTTTAAGAAATAGACGCTGAAGTATTTAGAAGTAAAGGATCATCATGTCTGCAACTTACTCTGAAAGAGTTCATGGAAATTGAAAGAGGGAGAGAGACAGAGACAGAGACAGAGCATGAAATCAAAGTGTTAACATTTGGGATAATATGGATGATGAGTGTGTGGGAATCTTTTGTACTATTTTTGCAAGCTTTCTTTAAGTCTGAAATTATTAAAAATAAAATGTTTAAAAACTGGTCTCAATTAAATATGACGAAATGTTAAGATGTGATCAATGTTAAGTGGCATGTATACAGGCTTTTGTTACATTATTTTCTATACTTGTCTGTATGCTTGAAATACTTCAAAATTTATTTTTGAAATAACAAATGTGTTATTCATAAGTACATTAAAATGAAACAGGAGTAAAAAGACATACAATGTATTGTTTTATATGCTCAAAAAACACTAAATATCAGGAAAAGGACTTGGCAAGCTCTAACAACTTTGACTTATTCTCCATGTGGTAAAACTCCTTCCTTGTTTTCTTAGTATTCCATGCTGCCTCTCACTTCTCAGCATTTGTTCTGAGGTTCTAGAACACTACTCCAGCCTCTTTCTTGATCCAGTCCTACCTTTTAGAATTCATGTTTCAGAAAAGTCTTTCCTGATCCCCAAAACTAGGCTGGATACCCTTCCTGTATATTCTCCCATTGCCCAGTGCTTCCCACCATCATAGCGGTTATCATACTCTATTATAATAATCTGTTTACTTTCCTATGTCCTCCCCTATCCTGCATACTTCCTGAGAGAAGGGACAGTGTTAATCAGGTTCACCATTCTATCTCCAGCATCAATCAGGCAAAGTGTCAGGCACATGATAGTCACCCAATTAAGTGTCTGATGATTCAATAATTTAAATATAGGTCTTGAAGTTAAATATTAAGCCATCCAGCACAGAAACCCAAAATATATAACTTTAAGAGATAATGAGGCTAACGTTTTAAAATAGAGCTTATTGTCTGAGAATATAAACTAAGAGATTGAAGATGTTTGGAGAAAGGACCACAGCAACCTTGATTAATAGAATGCCTTGAACTTCCAATAATACTTTCCTAGCAAATACTATCAAGGTCACATTCATTTACACCATTCTTATGAATTCTGAGAGAAAGACTCCTAACTTGGAAGATCTACTTTTAAGATATTTTAGAACTGTAAGAGTCCTCAAAGCAACTTGAAAGTCACAAGGCTAACATAAACAAGAAATAACTTGGTTTGCCTGATAGGATGCAGATATTACTTAAGCCTCTGAGCGTCGCTGTTGACCACCTAAGAAGTAAAAACCTGCAAGACATCCAATCCAACACTACGACTCCCACAACACAAAGGGCTGGGCATTCGGCCCGCAGGGTTCCGGGCAGCAAAGAGATTCAGTCAAGTTGTCCACTAGTTCTCTCCACTAGTGGAGACCTGGGTCCAGTGATTGCTGGTCACCACAGACTCTGAGGAATAAAGATTGGAATCCCTCACCGTGTGCTGGAAGTTGCCTGGGAGAAAAGCCTGCAGCAGAAGAAATGGCGGTTCTGCAAAAGTTGCCACAACGCAGACGCCTGGTCCTGCTATGTCTTGTTTTGGCAGCCCTGTGGGAGGCGGGAGTTGGGCAGATGCGCTACTCTGTGCCAGAAGAGATCGACAAAGGCTCTTTCGTGGGCAACATCGCCAAGGACCTGGGGCTGGAGCCCCGGGAGCTGGCGGAGCGCGGAGTCCGCATCGTCTCCAGAGGTAGGACGCAGCTCTTTGCTCTGAATCCGCGAGGCGGCAGTTTGGTCACCGCGGGCAGGATAGACCGGGAGGAGCTCTGCTCTCAGAGCACGCAGTGTCTGGTGAATTTTAACATACTTCTGGAAGATAAATTGAATATTTATTCAGTAGAGGTGGAAATAACAGATATTAATGATAATGCGCCTCGCTTTGGAGTAGAGGAACTGGAGCTAAAAATCAGTGAAACGACTACGCCAGGATTCCGGATTCCTCTAAAGAGTGCGCATGATGCGGACGTAGGAGAGAACACCCTTCAGAAGTATGAACTTAACTCAAATGACCACTTCTCCCTGGACGTGCGAAGTGCAGCGGATGGGAACAAGTACCCGGAGCTCGTGCTGGAGCGGGCGTTGGACCGCGAGGAGGAGGCGGTACACCACCTGGTCCTCATGGCTTTGGACGCGGGCGACCCAGTCCGATCTGGCACCTCCCGCATCCGCGTGATGGTCCTGGATGTAAACGACAATGCGCCTGTTTTTACACAGCCTGAGTACCGTGTAAGTGTTCCGGAGAATGTGCCCGTAGGCACCCGGATACTCGTGGTGACCGCAACTGACGCAGATGAGGGATACAATGCACAAGTGGCATATTTTCAAGAGAAAACCCCTGGAGAATCCTCAGAGGTATTTGAGCTTAAGTCAACATCGGGAGAAATAACAATCACAAAAAGTCTGGATTATGAGGATGCCAAATTCCATGAAATTGATATCGAAGCTCAGGATGGTCCCGGCCTTCTGACTAGAACGAAGGTTATTGTCACGGTTCTGGATGTGAATGACAACGCCCCAGAATTTTACATGACCTCTGCTACTAGCTCAATTTCTGAAGACTCTCCTCCAGGAACCATAATTGCACTTTTCAATGTACATGACAGAGACTCTGGGAAGAATGCATTTCTCACATGTTCACTCCCAGAGAACCTTCCTTTCAAGTTAGAAAGGTCAGTGGACAATTACCACCGACTGGTTACAACCAGAGCCCTTGACAGGGAACAATTTTCCTCTTACAACATCACTGTGACTGCAAAAGATGGAGGGAACCCATCTCTGTCCACAGATGCTCATGTTTTGCTGCAGGTGGCAGACATCAACGACAACCCACCCATGTTTCCCCATACGTCCTACTCAGCCTACATTCCTGAAAACAACCCCAGAGGCGCCTCCATCATTTCTGTGACTGCCCATGACCCCGACAGCGACGACAATGCCCATGTAACTTATTCCTTGACTGAGTACACCCTTCAGGGGACGCCCCTGTCCTCCTACATCTCCATCAACTCGGATACGGGTGTCCTCTACGCGTTAAGCTCCTTTGACTATGAGCGGTTCCGCGACCTGCAGCTCTGGGTGACAGCGCGGGACAGCGGGACCCCACAACTCAGTAGCAACGTGTCTCTGCGACTGTTCGTGCTGGACCAAAATGACAACATACCGGAGATCCTGTACCCCGCTCTCCCCACCGACGGTTCCACCGGCGTGGAACTGGCGCCCCGCTCTGCAGAACCCGGATATCTGGTCACTAAGGTTGTGGCAGTGGACAAAGACTCGGGCCAGAACGCCTGGCTGTCCTACCGCCTGCTCAAGGCCAGCGAGCCAGGGCTCTTCACGGTGGGGCTGCACACGGGCGAGGTGCGCACGGCGCGGGCCCTGCTGGACAGAGACGCCCTCAAGCAGAGTCTGGTGGTGGCCGTCCAGGACCACGGCCAGCCCCCTCTCTCGGCCACCGTCACGCTCACTGTGGCCATTGCTGACAGCATCCCAGACGTCCTGGCCGACCTGGGAAGCCTAGAAATCCCGCATGACTCTGACGCCTCAGGCCTCACCCTGTACCTTGTGGTGGCGGTGGCTGCTGTTTCTTGCATCTTTCTCGCCTTTGTCACTGTGCTATTGGCGCTCAGAGTGAGGCGCTGGTACACGTCACGCCTGCTCCAGGTTTCGAGAGGCCGATTGGCCAGCGTGCCCGCCTCGCAGTTTGTGGGCGTGGACGGGGTGCGGGCGTTCCTGCAGACCTATTCCCATGAGGTCTCCCTCACTGCGGACTCAAGGAAGAGTCACCTGATCTTCCCGCAGCCCAACTATGCGGACACACTCATCAGTCAGGAGAGCTGTGAGAAAAGTGATTTTCTATCAGTGCCTCAGACTTTACTTGAAGTTGAAGAGGAAACATTTCCTCAGGTAAACTCTTCACAATATACTTGTGAGCTATTACTAAAATAAATAAAATCACCTGTTTACTTAGCTTCCTCCACTGTTTAACATATCGCTTATATTTTGCCTGTTTCCTTGGGAATATATTCAATTTTTAGGACATAAGCTCTGGTGGATGATTTCTTGATATGTCTAAGTGTTCACACACTGTAAGGAGGAAGAGGGGCTAGAATAATTTGTCATGAGTGTAAATCGGGAGTTAGTGGGTGAAGATGATATTGAGGTTATCAAAAGAGCACTGCATTAGGAACTGGGGCATCTGGTTTCTTGTATTTTTTGTCCCATCCCTGGGCAAATCATCTCATATGCTTGGTCAACAATTCTTTCTCTTTTAAAAATATGAAGGTTGGTTGTATGTTTACTCAAGTGCTTTAAAATTTAAGGCTTTTATGTTTCATATTTGAATTTATTTATGAATAATGAAAACACTTAAGTGATTAGTTCCTTCTCACTCAGTCTTAATATTTTTCCTTCAGGTTGGCGGTGAGGTTCTTCATCTTACTTGATTTGCATGACCTTCCCCATTTAAAAGATGGAAATTTAAAAATACATATGCTTCACCATGTTTCAGGAAGTTATGTCATGGTATCTCTGCTTAGTTAAAAACCTCATTTGCCTCTAAAGTAGCTGTGTGTTCCTTGAAGAAGTTATTTGCTCTATAATAAATGAGTAATGTAATAGTAAACATGTTTCTGTTTGATATTTACTCAAGTGCTTTAAAATGTTTTTAAAATGATGTTTTTATTTTTCTTATGTTTTGAAATTAAATTGCCTTTTTCTCTTTAAGAATAATGTATGCCCTCAAGGGATTCAGAGACTATAACAAATAATTGCCCACAAATATCCTCCTTATACATCTCTCTTTTCAAAATTTCTTATAGCAACTATTTAAAACACTTCCAATCCCTCACACAACCTCAGTCCCCCTCACAACCACAACTTGCCTTCTCATTTCTTTTCCCATACTGGCTTTTAGTATGTTAGTTATATATTTAATAACAGAGAACAAAGAATACACTAATACTCTATGTAATTGGGATTGTTTTTATTTGGAAGTTGTCACTTACTGAATCTTGTATGTAATGGTATCGTCATCTTCAAGCTGCTGTGAATCCTTACCATATTTAAGGGCATCTGAGGGAAAATTAACCTGAGACAATATATTCCACTGTGTTTATTACTATTGCATAATTCTCTATGAGATTAAATGGGAACTCACCGTGGAGTAATACAGCATCACACTTTTACTTGTAAGTAATTAATAAATTATGAACTGAGGAAAACAAAAGACAGTTCCTTTTTTGTGTATAGTAACCACAAGTCCTATTTTTGTGCTTGGAGAGAAAAATAAATACAAAAAAAAAAAAGAGTTTCTGCAACATAAAACAATAGCTTATCTCTATTAGTTTCAGTTTGGATCTTTAAAAAAACATCCTCACCCTCTAGATTTAAGCAAAGTGAACTACTTTTAGTCTATGACGTTCTGTGATTTCTCACTCACATCTAGGCATTGCCATGCTGTTCTCTCTCACGTCCAGGCTTCCTCCCTGATCCATTCTTCTCACGTTTCTTGGGAAAGCCTTTGATAACCTCCAAGGTCAAGTTGGAGGCCCTCCCATCGCTCTTGGATTCCCCCATGATGGTTGTGATCACAGTGCACTGTAATTCCTTGTTTGCTTTTCTATCTTTATAAACTCTGTGAAGAAAGTGGCTGTCTCCATATCATTCATCCTAAACCCCCAGATATTGTCCAACACCCAATTATATGTTTGTTTAATGAATGGATTAAATAAAAATATTGAAACTAATATGTCAAGCTATCAAGGGCAAGCTTCAAGAGGCATAATTTAAGATTGTGAATGATTTTTCTGTGTGATTCTTAAGCTTTGAACATTTCAGAACGGTATGTCTGGCTTGTTTGAAATAATATTGGTTGTGTTAAAGTTAGTGCGTGGCTTCCCAAAGAAGTAACTTGAAGTCACATATTTAACATAAAGCAATTTCATTACGTGAAGTAAACACCAATCCCGATACCTCTGATTAAAAGGGTTTCAGGTGTTGGGAACCTTTAAAAATACTAACCGGGTTTGTCTGTGAGGGTGCACTAAACGGTTAGGCCTCTGAGCGTCGCTGTTGACCACTTAAGGAGGAAAACGCAGCTAGGGAGCTAGTCCACCATTACTTTGTTCATAAAAAGCAAAAAGCCAGCAAATTAGACCCAGAAGATCCAGGCTGTTACCAAGCTGACCCTGTCAGTCAACCAGCTCTGTGATCTATGAATTAGGCCCATGAAAAGCTTAGTTCATTGAGAAAATAAGAGTGGAGTCTATCGTGGGAAATTGGAACCGAATTCAGGAAAAAAAAAAAAAAATTCACCAAAAAGGAAATGACCGATTACATGAGATTCAGAAACAGTGGAGGACTGGCCCTGCTGTGTGCATTCCTGGGGACGCTGTGCAAGACTGGATCCGGGCAGATCCGATACTCGGTGCCCGAGGAGCTGGACAAAGGGTCCTTCGTGGGCAACATCGCTAAGGATCTCGGGCTGGAGCCCCGGGAGCTGGAGGAGCGCGGAGTCCGCATCGTCTCCAGAGGTAGGACGCAGCTTTTCTCTCTGAATCCGCGAGGCGGCAGTTTGGTCACCGCGGGCAGGATAGACCGGGAGGAGCTCTGCGCTCAGAGCGCGCTGTGTCTAGTAAAATTTAACATCTTGGTTGAAGACAAATTGAAAATTTTGGAAGTAGAAATAGAAATTAAAGACATTAATGATAATGCTCCTAATTTTCTAACAGAAGAATTAGAAATAAAAATTGGTGAATTAACGGCCACAGGAACTCGATTTCCACTTAAGACTGCATTTGACCCAGATGTGGGCATAAACTCTCTGCAGAACTACCAGCTCAGCCCCAATGACTACTTCTCCCTGGAGGTGAAGAGTGTCTCTGATGGGGCCAAGTATCCAGAGTTGGTGCTAGAGCGGGCTCTGGACCGTGAGGAAAAGGAAGTTCATCATCTTATTCTCATTGCCTCTGATGGTGGTAACCCTGTCCACTCTGGCAACTTGTGCATCCAAGTGATAGTTCTGGACGCAAATGACAATCCACCAGTGTTTACTCAGCCTCAATACCGAATAAGTGTTCCAGAGAATTTGCCAGTGGGCACTCGGCTGCTCACGGTGAATGCCACCGACCCTGATGAGGGATTCAATGCTCAAGTGTCCTATACACTAGATGAAATGCCTGGGAAAATTGCTCAGATTTTTTACCTTAACTCAGTGACAGGAGATATATCAATATTAAAAAGCCTAGATTATGAGGATGCTATGTTCTACGAAATTAAAGTTGAAGCACAAGATGGACCAGGTCTTCTTTCGATAGCAAAGATTCTAGTCACAGTTCTGGATGTGAATGACAATGCCCCAGAAGTCATGATCACTTCTTTCACAGGATCAGTTCCAGAAGAAGCTACCGCTGGAAGAGAAATTGCCCTTGTCAATGTGCATGACCGAGATTCTGGACAGAATGGGCAAGTCACAGTTTTTGTCCTGGGAAATATGCCATTTAATTTGGAAAAATCAATAGACCAATATTACCGCTTAGTGACAGCCAAGTCCCTGGACCGTGAACAGTTTTCTGAATATAACCTCACTCTGAGAGCAACAGATGGGGGAAATCCACCTCTGTCCACCGACACTCACTTCACCGTGCATGTGGCAGACATCAATGACAATCCACCTACCTTCACTTATGCCTCCTACTCTGCCTACATTCCGGAAAACAACCCCAGGGGAGCCTCCATCTTCTCCATTACTGCCCAGGACCCTGACAGCACGGAAAACGCCCACATCACTTATGCACTGGCTGACGATACCGTCCAGGGGGCGCTTCTCTCCACCTACCTCTCCATCAACTCCGACACCGGTGTCCTCTACGCTCTGCGCTCCTTCGACTATGAGCAAATTAGAGACCTGCAGCTACTGGTGACAGCCAGTGACAGCGGGGACCCTCCCCTCAGCAGCAACGTGACTCTAAACCTTTTTGTGCTGGACCAGAACGACAACTCGCCAGAGATCCTGTACCCCGCTCTCCCCACTGATGGTTCCACTGGCGTGGAACTGGCACCCCGCTCTGCAGAACCCGGATATCTGGTCACTAAGGTGGTGGCAGTGGACAAAGACTCGGGCCAGAACGCCTGGCTGTCCTACCGCCTACTCAAGGCCAGCGAGCCAGGGCTCTTCGCGGTGGGGCTGCACACAGGAGAGGTGCGCACGGCGCGGGCCCTGCTGGACAGAGACGCCCTCAAGCAGAGCCTGGTGGTGGCCGTCCAGGACCACGGCCAGCCCCCTCTCTCGGCCACTGTCACGCTCACTGTGGCAGTGGCTGACAGCATCCCAGATATTCTGGCCGACCTGGGTAGCTTAGAGATCCCGCAGGACTCTGACACCTCAGGCCTCACGCTGTACCTCGTGGTGGCAGTGACTTCGGTCTCCTGCGTCTTCCTTGTCTTTGTCATTGTGCTGTTGGCGCTCAGAGTGAGGCGCTGGTTTACGTCACGCCTCCTCCAAACTTCAGGAGGCAAGCTGGTACACGTGCCCACCTCGCAGTTTGTGGGCGTGGACGGGGTGCGGGCGTTCCTGCAGACTTATTCCCACGAGGTGTCCCTTACGGCGGACTCACGGAATAGTCACCTGATCTTCCCACAGCCCAACTATGCAGACACGCTTATCAGCCACGAGAGCTGTGAGAAAAGTGAGCCTCTCCTGGTATCTCATGACTTACTTGAAGCAAAAGAAGACCCCAAGCTACTTCAGGTGAGTATATTTTTTGAATATTATAAAGAACAATTGTGCCAGTGAGGTTATTATAAATCTTTAATACACATTTATTTGAAAATAAAGCAGTATGGTAGTCCAGTTGTTTAAATATTTGTTCCTCTCTCCTTCTGGGCCTATGATGGGGTACACTTCCAAGTTTCATATGGCTGAGTGGGCCTATGTAACTAGTTCTGGCCAAGACATTGTAAGTGGAAGAAGGTTTGTGTCTTCTTGGAGGAAGGTCTAGTTGCCATTATGAGAATTTCCAAATCTCTAAGATACTCTTTGGAATTTTGACTGATCTTTCTAACTGGTTCTTGAAGCACTACAATGAAAGCAGAGCCCTGTGGTTGACCCAACATTGACCTGTATACTTATAACAAATAGACCTTTTTAATTTTAAATCTCTGTAGTTTGGAGTTTGTCTGTAACTCCAGCGTACCTAGCCTATCCTGACTGATACAAACAAGTAAAAAAATAGGTATAAATACTAGGTATTTTAGGCTCCCATAGAATGTTGCTTAACGTCTTCCAAGCCAAACCACTCTCTTCATCTCAATGACATAAATATTGTAGGGTAAAAAATATAGAGGTTTGTCAAATAGTTTTAGCTGGCCTGTAGTTCCTATTATGTATACTTTAAGTGTGTGTGTGTGTGTGTGTGTGTGTGTGTGTGTGCACGCACGCGCACGTTGATTTAAGATTTTTGCCTGAAGGTAGGAAGTTCAATTGCCTAAACTGTTATGGGCCTTGAAGTGATATTTCTTGTCCTTTCAGAAGCATAAAAAAATATAAGGAGTTGTATCTCAGCCTCCCCAGGAAATTTCCAGACCATCTACTCCAATAATGAAATAGGAGTCCTACAACTTTCTTGGGCCAGAAATTGTTGGCCCATTTTGAAATTAATAAAATTATTTTCACCCATAAAATGGCATCAGAGAGTCATTCAAAATTGGACCAAAATATATTTCATTAGGTCTCAACAGATGTCTCCTTCAATATATTAGGAAGAGGTACATTCAAAAGTGTGTGACAACAGTATCTGAATAAAATAACTGAAAGCAGAGAAGGGTGTATTCTCACTCAAACATGCAAATATATCACAGAAAAACGGCACCTAACTTTTGAATATCTGTTTTGGGGAAATTTTTATAATATTAATATCACTTTCTTCATAAGGAGAAAAAACTGTTAAATGGCTAAGTGCCAGGGGAACTTCAGATGCTCAAAGAGAATTTTATAAGTATCCTATGTAAAACAGCTTACTTGAATGTTATGAAAATGCAAAGAAACTACAAAAGCAGTATAATTTCCATCTACATGTATAGATAATGAAAGGTCTCAGACATTCCATTTCCACTAAAAGGGATTTTTTTAAAAGATGGGCAGAAATTCATTGCAATGGAAAGGGAGGAGGGACTATGATAAAAGGAACAGAAAGTATAAAGCCATGAAGTAGAGAAAGCAAGAGAAAAGATGTCTTAAGAAAACAGATAATACCTGTTTTTACTGGAGTGTAAGACGAGTTTGGGTTAGCACTGTAAAATAGTAAAACAATTTGAGTTGGTATCTAACTTGGTAGTGCATTTGTTGATTTTAGTTACCCAAGACCAATTCAAGGATTACAGAGTGAGTTGAATCGGAATGCCTCTCCAAGATTTACCAATCAGTGATCAAGTCAAACTCATTTCACTTATTAATGGCTAGAGCTGAGAATTGGCATTATGGAGTATTGCATATGCCTTCATATAATAAAGAAGCTCTGGTTTCATAAAAGTGAATGTGGTTTACACAAGATTCAGCCTTATAAAAGCATACATTTGTACCCGAATACTAAATTGGTCCCTTTAACAAATATCAGGCTCTGCCGTACTTAACAGGAAAATTATGTTTAAAAAGATGAACAATACATTAAAAAATAAGTCTAGGGCCTTGATTCACTTTTTTTAAGACTATACCTTTGAAAAGTATTACTGAATTGGTGAAGTATATATGGAATGAGTTTAAAATACTAAATAAGGGAAATTATGGATTTACCAAAGTGTAAGGATCATAGTCCACTAAAATGCAGATAAAAATCTAGTAACTTATTTGGGTACATCCATACTAGTTCTGCCAATTTTATACAGTGAAATCACTAAAGGTATTTTTGCCTCCAAAACTGAAAAAGAAATGACTATGCATTATGAAATATTTTAATGAAAAAAGAAGAATGTAAAATGATGACAGGGGTTATGAGAAGACAAAAACTAGAAAATGTTGATTTAAAGGGAAAACTTGGATATTTGGTTTTTTCCAACAAATAAAAAGACAAAGTGCATAGATTCAAGAGCTTACATTTTGAGGATAAGTAGCTGGGCAATATGCAGTTTTCACAGACAACCTCGGGGCACCGCTGTTGACCAAAGGGAAGAAAAGGGTACTCAGTTCTGCAGGAGCTTCCGGCAAAGTGCTTTACAGCTTTGTCCTGCACACATCAGAACGTGGGATACACCCTAGAGCACCTAACAAGTCCTACCCTCAAATTACAAAAGCCCAGGGTGCCATGATTGATTTTTTAAATACCCCAGAGACATCTTGAAAAGAAGCTTCCCAGAGAGTTCAAGAGATGCAAAGGAGCTCCAGGAAAGCTGAAACAATGAAAAGTCAGGCACTGTTTCTCTTCCTGCTGTCTTTGTTGTGCACGGTCATCTCCCAGCAGATTCAGTATGAGATTCCAGAGGAGCTGGCCAGGGGCTCGAGGATGGGGAACCTCACTAAGGATCTGAGGCTCAATGTCCAGGAGTTTCCAGCTCGAAAATTGTAGGTTAGTGCAGAGGATTTTTTCAATGTGAGTGCAGAGAGAGGGGATTTGTTAGTGAGCAGTAGGATAGATAGAGAGATTTGCGGGAGGAAATCTGAGCGTGCACTGGAATTTGAAATAGTCGCTGAAAATCCAATGAATGTGTTCCACGTGATTGTTGCAATCCAAGATATTAAGGACAATGCACCATATTTCATTGCAAAAGACATTAACTTAGAAATCTGTGAGTTGGCCTCACCAGGGGTAAAATTCCCTCTGGATTCTGCACAAGATGCAGATACAGAAAGTAACTCACTGAAGATTTATACCATCAACTCCAATGAACACTTCTGTCTGTCAACTAAGGAAAGTCCTGATGGAAGTAAATACCCAAAATTACTGCTGGAAAAATCACTGGGAAGAGAACAGCAGAACTCCCACCACTTAGTCCTAACTGCCACGGAATGGGCGGGGGGAACCCTCCTCGAAGAGGCACCACCCAGATCTGGATCCATGTCACTGATGCCAACGATAGTGCTCCAGTGTTCAGCCAGGACACATAAAGAGCTAGACTCCAAGAAAACATGGCCCAGGGAACCTCTGCGCTAAGGGTGAAGGCCACCAACCAGGATGAGGGCATTAATGCAGAAATCACCTATGCCTTCCTTAATGCCCCAACAAGCAGCAGCCTTCTCTTCAATCTCAGTCCATATATAGGTGACATCACAACCAATGGTACATTAGACTTTGAAGAGACAAGCAGATATATGTTGGCTATAGAAGCCAAAGATGGAGGAGTACACATGGCTCGCTGCAATGTTGAGATTGACATCGTTGATGAGAATAACAGTGCCCCAGAGGTGACATTCACGTCCTTTTCAAAATGGATTCCTGAAGACACAGACCCTGGAACCATAATAGCCCTCATTAAAGTGTGAGACCAAGATTCTGGGCAAAACGGTCTGGTGACATGCTATATTCAGGAAGAAGTTCCTTTCAAATTAGAATCCACCTCCAAGAATTATTACAAACCGATGATTGATAGTGCTCTAGACCGGGAGCAGATGGCAGAGTACAATGTCAGCATCATAGCAACTGACAAGGGCGAACCATCCCTATCCTTCAGTACAACCGTCACCACACACATGAGTGAGATAAACGACAACGCTGCCGTTTTCCACCAGGTCTCCTCCCTGGTCCATGTGCCAGAAAACAACCCACCCCGGGCCCCCATCGCCCAAGTGAGCGCCTCCGATCCCGACCTGGGACCAAACGGCCAAGTCTCCTACTCCATCGTGGCCAGCGACCTGGAGCCGCGGACGCTGTCGTCCTACGTGTCCGTGAGCTCACAGAGCGGGGTGGTGTTCGCGCAGCGCGCCTTCGACCACGAGCAGCTGCGCGCCTTCGAGCTGACGCTGCAGGCCCGCGACCAGGGCTCGCCCGCGCTCAGCGCCAACGTGAGCCTGCGCGTGTTGGTGGGCGACCGCAACGACAACGCGCCTAGGGTGCTGTACCCGACGCTGGGGCCCGACGGCTCGGCGCTCTTCGACACGGTGCCGCGCGCCGCGCAGCCCGGCTACCTGGTCACCAAGGTGGTGGCGGTGGACGCGGACTCGGGACACAACGCCTGGCTGTCCTACCACGTGCTGCAGGCCAGCGAGCCCGGACTGTTCAGCCTGGGGCTGCGCACGGGCGAGGTGCGCACCGCGCGCGCCTTGAGCGAGAGGGACGCTGCCCGCCAGCGCCTGCTGGTCGCTGTGCGCGATGGGGGACAGCCACCCCTCTCGGCCACAGCTACGCTGCTCCTGGTCTTCGCTGACAGCCTACAAGAGGCTCTGCCAGACTTCAGCGACCGCCCTGCTCTCTCTGACCCCCAGGCTGAGCTGCAGTTTTACCTGGTGGTGGCCTTGGCCTTGATTTCAGTGCTCTTCCTCCTCGCGGTGATTCTGGCGGTTGCCCTGCGCCTGCGACGCTCCTCCAACCCGGCCGCCTGAAGTTGCTTTCATCCTGGCCTCAGTTCCAAGTCTGGACCTGTGTTTCTCTCCAATTACAGTGAGGGAACATTGCCCTGTTCCTACAATCTGTGTGTTGCCTCACAATCAGCTAAGACAGAGTTTAATTTTATCAACGTGACCCCAGAAGTGGCTCCCCCTCGGCATCTCCTGTGTGAAGCTCCTTCTATGGATGTATGTGCCAGGAAGGAAAACGCCCAAGTCGCTTATGACTCCTTTTTTTCCCTCTGCAAATCTACTTAAATTAGTTGTGCATAATTAGTTTTCATCGTTTTTCATTGTTCTGGTGATGATAGTGAGACAGGAGGTATATTCTGTGGGTGGGGATGAGTTTCTTGATTGCTCAGTATTCTTGGCACTTATCGAATTACTACTTCACAATCTGTATGATTGGTCAGCAAATCTTGCTAAAGAGAGATTTTCTTGTGTCAGCACTGCTTTTTCTTAATTGGTGTGGTCCTATTTTTTTCCAAGCTTTACTTCTTATAAAGGTACTGGAAATTCTTTCTGCCTATGTTAATGTTTATGTTCATCTCATCAAATACATTCTACTTGTTATCTTTTTGCTGCAATGTGGATCTTTAATATGGCTTTCCAATAATTAAGTCTCTTAGCACTTCTTGGCCTTACGTAGCAAAGACTGTCAGATTTTACGTTTGAATCATTAACTTTGAGTCAATTTTATTCCCACTTTATAATCTCATTCAAGAATAGTTTTCTTAACCATTCTTCAATAACTTATGTTTAAACTCATTCGACTTTGTCATTATTTTAATGAGGAACATAATGAACTTTTTGTATACATAGTCTTCATATTTCTTTTTTTTAGTATAAGAGTCTAAAATTTTCAAAATATCTCATTTTCCTCCCAACCCTCAACTTTCTGGGTCCTCTGATGATTGTGAAAAATATGTTTAATCTTCTCCACAAAGTCTGAAGATTTAAAAACTCTGACTAGTCAATGTATTTTGCGTCCGATTAAAATATGAGTAACTTCTAGAAGTTAATTATTATGTGAGGGATAATCTAAATAACTGACTGCTCACGGCCTTATCTCAAGTTTTCTCAGGTTAGTAAATCACTTCAAGTTTTCTTGAATAAGAAAACTATGAGACATGCAATGATAACATACATACAACTGCTAAAATGTTTCCTTTTACTAGCTATTTCTAAAAATCAAAGCTAAAGTAAACTTAGAAATAATGGTGACATAGTACCTTCTGGATGTGTTCTTAGTGAAAAAAATCACTGAAATATTGTCTGCTCTTTATAGTACTTTACTAACTTTTCTGTCCTACCTTTATTTTTAAGATCAGTGGTTTTTTTATTCATTGTTTTAGACTTTGCAGTTGCATTAGTGACTCACTCATTAAACATTGAAAAACTATTTGAGTGCATACTCTATGAAAGGTGCGGTTCTAAATTTGAGGATACACTGTGAACATGGTAGTCACAGACATAGCTTGTGGCCTAGAATCTTCTTTATAGAAAATTAATGAGCAAATTCTCTTCCCAAACCTATTATTATATTTACCAATCCCACTGGTGCAGGGGTAAAACTAGCTCTTAAACAATAGAAATTTTCTTGCAAGGGAACTGAAAAGTTGTCCCAGATTCTAAAAGTTAACTCATGTGAGGAAACTGGTTTCCGCATTGGTTGAGACTAGAGCCTAGACTTCCAACTCCCCAGACACTGGCTTTTCCATTTTTTCATTCTTCAAGCCCATCCTTGTTCCTGGGAGATATAAATGTGTCCTTCACATAATATACTGTACAAAAAATGGGTAATAAGAATAAATAATGCAAAAACTTAAAAGTGGTAGAAAAAATTCTTAGCAAAAAAAAATCATATTTTTCTCTGAAAGTTAATTACTTCACAAGGCTTATTGTACAGGAAGCTATAGGTTGTTTCTATATTTTCATTACAAATAAAACAACAGGAGTTTGACTTTTATTGTTTGGGGAGAAAAATAAGATAAGGAAAACGCAGCACGCAATTGATAACTTTACCAAAAATAGATTGCAGTAACAGGTTAGGACTCTGAGCGTCGCTGTTCACCAATCGGGAGAAAAAAGACAACTAAGAATTTAATCCGAACCATAAGGTTTCTGCATCACAAAGCAGTGGCCCTGGCGCTTTATGAACGCTCCACTCAGGAACTCCCAGGGCTCCAGCACGTTACAGTGAAAACACATTATATTGGACCACGAAGATCCTGGGGTTCCTCAGTCCTTCGCCGAAGGAAAACCCAAGCGCAAGCTACTCCGCGGCAGGGCTGTGATGGAGGCTCCGCCTTATCGCCCAGACTGCAGCAGGCTGGTCCAGATCTGCCTTCTCCTGGGGGCCCTGTGGGAAATCCGGGCCGAACAGATCCACTACTCAGTACCTGAGGAGCTGGAGAAAGGCTCCTTTGTGGGCAACATCGCCAAGGACCTGGGGCTGGAGCCCCGGGAGCTGGCAAAGCGCGGAGTCCGCATCGTCTCCAGAGGTAGGGCGCAGCTTTTCGCTCTGAATCTGGGAAGTGGCAGCTTGGTCACCGCGGGCAGGATAGACCGGGAGGAGCTATGCGACAGATCTCCAAAGTGTTTAGTGAGCCTGGAGATTCTCCTAGAGGACAAAGTGAAAATTTTTGGAGTAGAAGTGGAAATAATCGATATTAATGATAACGCGCCCAACTTTGGGACAGAGCAAAGAGAAATAAAAGTAGTTGAAAATGAAATTCCTGGGACAAGATTCCCTCTTCCTGAAGCTTTTGATCCGGATGTAGGGGTAAACTCCCTGCAGGGTTACCAGCTCAGCTCGGATGTTCACTTCTCCCTGGATGTGCAAACCGGGGCCGATGGGATAAAGTACCCGGAGTTGGTGCTGGCGCGCGCCCTGGACCGCGAGAAAGAGGCAGTTCACCACCTAGTCCTCACCGCCTTCGACGGAGGCGACTTGGTTCACTCTGGCACTGCCAGGATCCATATAACACTTGTGGATACCAACGACAATGCCCCCATATTCACTCAGCCCGAGTACCATGTGAGTATTCGGGAGAATGTGCCAGTGGGTTCCCAGCTCCTCACTGTAAAAGCCACTGATCCAGATGAAGGAGCCAATGGAGAAGTGACATATTCTTTCAGAAAAGTGAGAGAGAAAATATCCCAGCTGTTCCAGTTGAATTCTGTGACTGGAGACATAACAATATTAGGATCACTAGATTATGAGGACTCTGGATTCTATGATATAGATATAGAAGCTCACGATGGTCCTGGTCTTCGAGCCAGAAGCAAGGTACTGGTGACAGTTCTGGATGTAAATGACAATGCTCCAGAAGTCACGGTTACATCTCTCACCAACTCTGTCCAAGAAACTTCTTCCCCAGGCACAGTAATTGCACTTTTCAATGTTCATGACAGTGATTCAGAGGAGAATGGCCTTGTCACATGTTCTATTCCAAATAATCTTCCATTTACACTTGAAAAGACCTATGGAAATTATTATCGGTTGTTGACGCACAGAACTCTGGATAGGGAAGAAGTCTCAGAATATAACATCACGGTAACTGCCACTGACCACGGAACTCCACCACTGTCCACAGAAACTCGCATTTCGCTGCAGGTGGCAGACATTAATGATAACCCACCTTCTTTCCCCCATGCTTCTTATTCTACCTACATTCCTGAAAATAACCCCAGAGGAGCCTCCATTTTATCCATGACCGCCCAGGACCCTGACAGCATTGAGAACGCCAGAGTCACTTACTCCCTGACTGAGGACACGCTTCAGGGGGAACCTCTCTCCTCCTTCGTCTCTATCAACTCTGATACTGGTGTCCTATATGCGCTACGTTCCTTTGACTATGAGCAGGTGAGAGACTTACAACTACTGGTGACAGCCAGTGACAGCGGGGACCCTCCCCTCAGCAGTAACGTGTCTCTAAGCCTGTTTGTTCTGGACCAGAACGACAACGCGCCAGAGATCCTGTACCCCGCTCTCCCCACTGATGGTTCCACCGGCGTGGAACTGGCACCCCGCTCTGCAGAACCCGGATATCTGGTCACTAAGGTGGTGGCGGTAGATCGAGACTCAGGCCAGAACGCCTGGCTGTCCTACCGCCTGCTCAAGGCCAGCGAGCCAGGGCTCTTCACGGTGGGACTGCACACGGGCGAGGTGCGCACAGCGCGGGCCCTGCTGGACAGAGACGCCCTCAAGCAGAGCCTGGTGGTGGCCGTCCAGGACCACGGCCAGCCCCCTCTCTCGGCCACTGTCACGCTCACTGTGGCTGTAGCCGACAGCATCCCAGACGTCCTGGCTGACCTGGGAAGCTTCAAACCCTCCGCCAACCCTGACGATTCCAGCCTTACTCTGTATCTGGTAGTGGCAGTGACCACGGTCTCCTGCGTCTTCCTCGCCTTTGTCATCGTTCTTCTGGCGCTCAGACTGAGGCGCTGGCACATGTCACGTCTGCTCTCAACTTCCGGAGGCAGATTAACGGGCGTGCCAGCCTCGCAGTTTGTGGGTGTGGACGGGGTGCGGGGATTCCTGCAGACCTATTCCCACGAGGTGTCCCTCACTGCGGACTCACGGAAGAGCCACCTGATCTTCCCACAGCCCAACTACGCGGACACGCTCATCAGCCACGAGAGTTGTGAGAAAAGCGAGCCTCTTCTGATAACTCAGAATTTACTTGAAACTAAAGAAGACCCCAATCTTCATCAGGTGAGTCAATTTGCCATACTGAAACGTTTTCAGAGAGCTGTGTAATTGTCTCCAATTGTATAAGATACGTACTATATTACATAAAGGCACTTCTTTTTAGTATTTTATTGCTGGGGGTGGGGCAGTAGACCCTACAAGAATGATCAGTAACTTTTACTGCACCTAAGTTATTTTTTCTTATCCTGTGTAGTCTTCATCCAGTTATAAGTTTCAGCAACAATTTCTTAATTTTATGTCTCTAACCATCTCACTGCTGTAAATGCCAATTCCTTTAGGTCTTATTGAGAGTATAGAATGGAACTGTGAAATAGAAGGCAATTGTGTGAATTCATATATAAGCATTCTCTCTTATGAAGCTATCTTTTAATCTGGACTGAGTATTTTTAAATTTTCTGTTTTTATACCCCGACATACTTTGCTTCAAGTTCACTCTTCTTTATTTGAAGTTGTATTTTCCATTAAACAATGGCAGTTTTAAAATACTGGTGGAAATATTTAACATTTAGATTTAACTTTAACAGGAATCATTTCACAATTTTAAATATTTTGATGTTGCATTTTGTGGGATGCACCAGCAGTGACTATGTATGATTCCTTTGGTGCACTTCTGTGATTACCAAAAATATTGCCCATTTTATTTCACTTGAGATCCTTCACTATGAGATCCTTCTTTATTTCTAAGGAAGCCTAACTTTTAGAAATCTTTCCTTTTTCATCATGAGAGCCTCTTACAAAGGTTGGTTAACTTGGATTCTGAAGTTATGCTACTTACTAAGTAGGACTCATCTCTGTTCCTGCAAATTGCTCTTGGGTTGCTCTCACTGTGTGGCTCTGGGATGACCTGATATGGGGGGAAATATTTTGTATGCAAAGGATATTCAACTTTTGTTCCTTGTTCCTTCATTGCGTTGTGTGACTTAATTTGGAATTTACGAGTGTCTAAATTATTAATACATTACTCTTCATTAGTGACATATGGATACCTGGTAATTGTGGACTATGCCTCAATTAGACTTAAGAAGGAGAGTTTTAGTGTCTAGATGCTTTTGTCTTCATGGGAAATTGTGGTGCAATGAATAGAGTAAATAAGAATGGGATATGATACAACCAGCCGGCTTGGGGAAAGGAAAGAAAAAATAACAAATGAATATTGAGAGACAAATTATATTTGAGGACAGATTATTTAAATTACTGAAGCTTTAAAATATAATTTGGAAATATCAGTTGGCCTCAAACTGTGTCAAACATATTTAGATGCTGACATCAGGAATACATTCTAGAATCAGAGTGATACATATTTTAAATGCCTAGGAGAGCATCAGTAGATAATTTATAACCTAATAGCATATGGAAAATATATTTCTGTTTGAATTGGCACTGGGTTTCTTTTAGAAAATAATATTTCTGGTTAAATAAATTATTGTACAACCATTATGATGGGTTACTACAAAGCTATAATAAATAAATGGGAAATGTCTTTACGTATTGATATGAAATAATCTTCAAGATATAATGAATGGAAAAAGCAAGATGCTTTTTTGACATATGTTTATAAAATCAAGGGAGGATATTTATAAAAATCTGCTGCACTGTACAAAGCATATCTCTGGAATAGTATACACAAAAAAGAACACTCATTTCTCCTGGGAGAAATGTGTGGTTGAAAGCAGAGAGGGAGAGCCTATAGAATGTGCCATGTGTGCCTTTTGAATTTGGAACTATATAAATTATACCTATATAAAAACAAATAAATACTCTTTATTAATCCGAAAGAGAAAAAATTGTTCTTTACAAAACATTTTCAAGCCATTGGAGCAGTTTTACGGGAAAACCTCTGGGCGTCGCTATAGGTCAAAAGAAGAGCGAGAAGATCTGCAATATATTTGAGAGCCTCTTAGAGGGTAACTTCCTGCTCAAACCAACCACACAGGACGCCAGTACGGATTCGGTTAGAGAAAACAAAAGCAAGAAAAGTGACCTTACCCCGGATTTTGCCATCCGCGGAGGGCTCATTCTTCCTCCCGGCCAGGAAGCAGAACCGCAGCGAAGGGAGACGGAGGATGAGGCTGAGCGCAGAGAGAAGCCGCCCGGTGCGGTGGCGGCAGGTATTGTTGCCCTTTCTGCTGTCTTTGTTCGGCTGGGCTCTCCCAGACCAAATCCGCTACTCAATTCCCGAGGAGCTGGCCAAGAACTCGGTGGTAGGAAACCTCGCCAAGGATCTGGGGCTTAGTGTCCGGGACTTACCGGCCCGGAAGCTGCGGGTTAGCGCGGAGAAGGAATATTTCACTGTAAACCCTGAGAGCGGAGACTTACTTGTGAGCAACAGGATAGACCGAGAGAAGATTTGCGGGAAAAAGCCTCTGTGTATTCTGGATTTCGATACTGTGGCTGAAAACCCACTCAATATTTTCCAAGTAGCAGTAACAGTGCAAGATATAAACGACAACATTCCATTATTCAAACAGAGTAAGATTGATTTAAAAATTGGAGAATCCACTAAGCCAGGTAAAACATTTCCACTAGACCCAGCCCTGGATTTGGACGCTGGTTCAAATTCACTGCAAAGATACCACCTTAATGACAATGAGTACTTTGGTCTCTCAGAGAAACAGACTCCAGATGGACGTAAATATCCTGAGTTGATTCTGAAACATTCTCTGGACAGGGAAGAGGAGAATTTCCACCAACTGGTCCTAACAGCTGTGGACGGTGGGGACCCACCCCAAAGTGGCACCACACAGATCCAAATCCAAGTCACCGATGCCAACGATAACCCCCCAGTGTTCAGCCAAGAAGTATACAGGGTAAGCCTGAAGGAGGGTGTGCCCCCAGGCTTCTCCGTGCTTCAAGTGACCGCCACCGACCAGGATGAGGGCAGTAATGCGGAGGTCACATATTCCTTTCATAATGTGGATGAACAAGTGGAACAATTTTTTAGCTTAGATAAAAGAACAGGAGAAATCACAACAAAGGATAATTTTGATTTCGAAATTGCTAATAGTTACATTCTCGGTATAGAAGCGAAAGATCCTGGAGATCTAGCAGGACATTGCAGTATCCAAGTCGAAATTCTTGATGAGAACGACTGTGCACCTGAAGTGATTGTGACCTCAGTATTTACTCCCCTTCCAGAGGATTCACCACCAGGAACAGTGATCGCTTTGATAAAAACAAGAGATAGAGACTCTGGAGAAAATGGAGAAGTTTACTGCCGCATATTGGGAAACACAGCGTTTACATTGAAATCTTACTCAAAGATTTACTACAAACTAGTGACAGATGGGGCCCTGGATCGGGAGGAGATCTCTGAATACAACGTCACTATAATGGCCACTGACAGGGGCAAGCCGCCCCTCTCCTCCAGCATTACCATCACCCTGCACATCACCGACGTCAACGACAACGCTCCGGTTTTCCAGCAGTCAGCCTACCTGGTCTACGTGCCAGAAAACAATCCACCTGGTGCTTCCATAGCGCAGGTCAGCGCCTCTGACTCCGACCTGGGACCCAACGGCCACGTCTCCTACTCCATCGTGGCCAGCGACCTGGAGCCGCGGGCGCTGTCGTCCTACGTGTCCGTGAGCGCGCAGAGCGGCGTGGTGTTCGCGCAGCGCGCCTTCGACCACGAGCAGCTGCGCGCCTTCGAGCTGACGCTGCAGGCCCGCGACCAGGGCTCGCCCGCGCTCAGCGCCAACGTGAGCCTGCGCGTGTTGGTGGGCGACCGCAACGACAACGCGCCTAGGGTGCTGTACCCGACGCTGGGGCCCGACGGCTCGGCGCTCTTCGACACGGTGCCGCGCGCCGCGCAGCCCGGCTACCTGGTCACCAAGGTGGTGGCGGTGGACGCGGACTCGGGACACAACGCCTGGCTGTCCTACCACGTGCTGCAGGCCAGCGAGCCCGGACTGTTCAGCTTGGGGCTGCGCACGGGAGAGGTGCGCACCGCGCGCGCCTTGAGCGAGAGGGACGCTGCCCGCCAGCGCCTGCTGGTCGCTGTGCGCGATGGGGGACAGCCACCCCTCTCGGCCACAGCTACGCTGCTCCTGGTCTTCGCTGACAGCCTACAAGAGGCTCTGCCAGACTTCAGCGACCGCCCTGCTCTCTCTGACCCCCAGGCTCTGAGCTACAGTTTTACCTAGTGGTGGCCTTGGCCTTGATTTCAGTGCTCTTCCTCCTCGCGGTGATTCTGGCCGTTGCCCTGCGCCTGCGACGCTCCTCCAACCCGGCCGCCTGGAGTTGCTTTCATCCTGGCCTCAGTTCGAAGCCTGGACCGGGGGTTCTCTCCAATTACAGTGAGGGAACATTGCCCTATTCCTATAATCTGTGCGTTGCCTCACAATCAGCTAAGACAGAGTTTAATTTTATCAACGTGACCCCAGAAGTGGCTCCTCCTCAGGATCTCCTCTGCGGAGATGCCTCATGGGTACCAAGTACAAATCCTGAAGATGCTGAGGGCCCATTTGCTTCAGATACTATTTTAAAGGTAAGCTTTAATTTAATTATTTTCACTTTGGGTTCAAATGTTCTTAACAAATCACCTAACTGGGGTAGGAGTCTTCATTTCATATTTTATTGTCTTCTGGGTTGAATTTAGGCAGTTTTCTGACCTAATTATCTTGATCTTATCTAACCAAAACTTTGACATTGTTTTCTATGTAATGTGTGAGATGTATTTGTTCATAATTACAAGCCTTTATTACATGAGATCTCTTTCTTCCTCATCTTTACAATCCTTCCCTCTGAGGATTTATTACTGTAGATATCTTAAGCTATTTCTTTCATATTCAGGGCCTTTATTACTCAAATTTTAATTTTACTTCCTCCAAGAATTGTAGTACTCTAGAGTAAAGAGAACTCCCCATCTTACTATAGTGTTTGGGGGAACTGGAAACCAGAAAAAGGATGAATTTTACCCAACAATATGGCTTGTCAACAGCAGAGCATAGGTAGGACAGACATGAACACCATCAATCTAAGTGTCTTTACAGGCTAAATGTCTCGAGATTCCAGATCTACTTTTAAAGGATGGGCAAAGTTTGAGGTCTGTGGTGTCTGCTATTAGGAATGTGTTAAATAGATGGGAGAGATCTCTCTTATGCGTAGTAACAAATTGCTGTTGTGAAAATTGTACATTGAGAAAACATTTGCAACCTATACTCACATTGTGTACTTAAAACTTTATTTTTTGAATTTTCTAATTATAGATATAGAATATCTTCACTTTCTTCATTGTCCTATGAAGATGTCATTCAGAAAAAAATATTTCACCTAATGGACTCTCTGAAATGTCCACTTTTTTTTAGTCATGCAGTTTTTCTTTTTCTGCTACCATATAAAGGTGATAACATTAAATATCTGTCTCAACATAGAAAGTCCACTCACTGCCTCCTCGTTATGTTATAGACATGTTATTACTGCATGCGTGAGGAACTAAAGCCCTTTACTCCACAGTTACTATATGTATTTTTCCCCCCAAGAGTCTGTCACTGTATAACATTCCAATTAAGACATCGTAATAGGAAAGTATAAGTAACCCACAGTTAACCCAGCTCAAACTTTCAGTCTGATATAATGTAGCTACCATATTCCTAATGTGAAAAACAGGAAACTTTCTCAAAGACCTTTCTCAAAGACCTCACAAGTAACAAAATGACACTGTAATCTTTTCTGCATATGACAGCTAATACAATTTGCCTGAATCAGTGGTCCTTTTTGGAAAGACGCATTGAGAGCAAGGCTTGTTTCCTTGACATTTTTATGTACAAATGGGCACGTTCTCATAAATATTCCTAATACAGAACTGAAATCTTAAAACCTACAAAAGTAAAAATTACTATGTCCTAATTTAATGAACTCAATGTAGATAAGAAGTAAATAAAGGACATAAACTCAGTGGCACATTAAATAAAACTTTCCTAAAGAAGTAAAAGGAACCTCATAATTATATTGATTTCAGGGGTTTATGGAAATCTTTTGCCTTTCAGAACTAAATCTTAATTAAATATAAAGAATGTCACATGGTAATACATGAAGGATATAGCAAATTATTGGAAATAAAATATAATTAAACATTTATGAAATAAAAATGGAATTGGTGTAGTAACTTGTTAGGACTCTGAGTGTCGCTGTTCACCAAAGTGGGAAAGAAGCTGCTGCTGATGCGACCCTACTTTGCTCCTTCTGCACTAAACACGCACAAACCGGACTAGCTCCTGGGAAAGCCTTCCGCGCGGGCCCCTCTCCCACTTGCAGCAAGGAATGTGTTCCCTTTGGCTTCAAAGAAATAAGGAAACAGCAGGCTGGAACCAAGCCTAAAGGAAAACTGGTCAGAGAGAAGGCAATGGCGGATCCTTTGAGATGTTGGAACTGCAGAGAGCTGCTCCTGCTCTTCCTGTTCCTGGGGACGCAGTGGGGAGCCGGGGCCGGGCAGATCCGCTACTCAGTGCTGGAGGAGCTGGACAAAGGCTCGTTCGTAGGCAACATTGTGAAGGATCTCGGGCTGGAGCCCTGGGAGCTGGCGGAGCGCGGAGTCCGCATCGTCTCCAGAGGTAGGACGCAGCTTTTCGCTCTGAACCTGGGAAGTGGCAGCTTGGTCACCGCGGGCAGGATAGACCGGGAGGAGCTCTGCGCTCAGAGCGCGCGGTGTCTGGTGAGTTTTAACATCTTGGTTGAGAATAAAATGAAAATTTATGGAGTAGAAGTAGAAATAATAGATATTAATGATAACTTCCCGCGTTTCAAGGATGAGGAAGTAAAAGTAAAAGTTAGTGAAAATGCGGCTACGGGAACACGGTTAGTGCTTCCCTTCGCTCGAGATGCGGATGTGGGTGTGAACTCCCTCCAGAATTACCAGCTTAGCTCCAATATACACTTCTTTTTGGATGAGAAAAGTGGAACTGATGGACATAAATACCCGGAGCTGGTACTTGAACAGCCCTTGGACCGCGAGAAAGTGGCTGTTCACGATCTCCTTCTCACGGCTTTAGATGGCGGAGACCCCATACTTTCTAGTACTACGCATGTCCGAGTGATGGTCCTCGACGCAAATGATAATGCGCCCCAGTTCACTCAATCAGAGTACAGAGTGAGTGTTCCAGAGAACATACCTGTGGGCACTCGGCTGCTCACATTAACGGCTACCGATCCAGATGAGGGAATAAATGGGAAATTGACCTACGCTTTTCGCAATGAAGAAGACAAAATTTCAGAGACTTTCCAACTTGATTCTAATCTGGGTGAAATCTCAACTGTGCAATCACTGGATTATGAAGAATCCAGATTCTATCTCATGGAAGTGGTAGCTCAGGATGGAGGTGCTCTTCTTGCCAGTGCTAAAGTGGTGGTCACAGTACAAGACGTGAATGACAATGTCCCAGAAATGATCCTGACCTCTCTTGCCAGTTCCATCTCTGAAGACTGTCTTCCTGGAACTGTAATTGCACTCTTTAGCATACATGATGGTGATTCTGGAGAGAATGGTGAGATTGCATGTTCTATCCCCAGGAATTTGCCTTTCAAATTGGAAAAGTCAGTTGATAATTATTATCACTTATTGACAACGAGAACCCTGGACAGAGAAGAGATCTCAGATTATAACATCACAATAACTGTCATTGACCATGGAAACCCACCCCTGTCTACAGAAAACCACATCTCTCTGAAAGTGGCAGACATCAATGACAATCCTCCCATCTTCCCTCATGCCTCATACTCCACCTACATCCCAGAAAACAATCCCAGGGGCATCTCAATCTTCTCTGTGACCGCCCACGACCCCGACAGTGGCAACAATGCCCAGGTCACTTATTCTCTGGCCAAGGACGCATTTCAGGCAACACCTCTCTCCTCCTATGTCTCCATAAACTCTGAAACTGGAATCCTGTATGCACTGGGCTCTTTTGATTATGAGCAGGTTAGAGACCTGCAGCTGTGGGTGACAGCCAGTGACAGTGGAGACCCTCCACTTAGCAGCAATGTTTCACTGATCCTGTTCATATTGGACCAAAATGACAACGCTCCTGAAATTTTGTACCCCACACTCCCCACCGATGGTTCCACCGGTGTGGAACTGGCACCCCGCTCTGCAGAGCTTGGCTACCTGGTGACTAAGGTGGTGGCAGTGGACAAAGACTCAGGCCAGAACGCCTGGCTGTCCTATCGCCTGCTCAAGGCCAGCGAGCCAGGGCTCTTCGCAATAGGACTGCACACCGGCGAGGTGCGCACAGCGCGTGCCCTGCTGGACAGAGACGCCCTCAAGCAGAGCCTGGTAGTGGTGGTCCAGGACCATGGTCAGCCCCCTCTCTCCGCCACCGTCACTCTCACCGTGGCCGTGGCAGACAACATCCCAGATGTCCTGGCGGATCTGGGCAGTTTTGAGCCCTCTGCCAACCCTGACGACTCCATCCTCACGCTGTACCTCGTGGTGGCAGTGGCCACTGTCTCCTGCGTCTTCCTCGCCTTTGTCATCGTTCTTCTGGCGCTCAGAGTGAGACGCTGGTACACATCGCGCCTGCTCCAGGCTTCTGGAGGCGGATTGGCAAGTCTACCCGCTTCTCACTTTGTGGGCGTGGACGGGGTACAGGCGTTCCTGCAGACCTATTCCCATGAGGTGTCCCTCACTGCGGACTCACGGAAGAGTCACCTGATCTTCCCGCAGCCCAATTACGCGGACACGCTCATCAGCCACGAGAGCTGTGAGAAAAGCGAGCCTCTTCTGATACCTGAGAAAATAAACGCAAACAAAGAACCAGAAGTTGTCCAGGTGAGTTTTCTTTTTCAGTAGGGATGCTTGGAGCATTTTATTAATTTGTTTCCTCAGTTATTTTTCTTACACATTCAAAATAGGTTAGTTATGTAATGAGTCATAATTTACTTTATTTAGAGATTAGCTTAATTTAATTTAATAATTGATGCTTTCTCCATTTATTTTCAAGTTATACTTTGGTTTAATGTCTTATTTTTTCAATATGTAGATATTTTAGAAAATCTAGCTAATGTCCAGAGATTTAAATGAAAAAAGGACCTCAAAAGAAAGTGGTTAAATATAATCACTTTACCCAAAGACTTTCTTATACTTAGAACTGTTATCTTAATGAATGAGTTGTTTGGTTGGTCAAAATTGCTGGATTTAATGTTCTTTCTTGAATATTTGCCTAAATACCAATAGTGAATATGTTTTACAAAGAATACTGTGCAACATTGCCATTTTAGCATATCTGCTGTCTGCATAAGGGAATAATTTACAGTATTTGCATAAATCAGTGGAAAAATATAGAAAACTTCTGCATCATAAATATAAAAAAAGAGCTTAAATTTCTAGTGATGATAATGTCTGTGGCATTCTGAAATCTGGAAAGTTTGGATTACACCATGAACTTATTGAACATGTGTATCTGTTGAGATAAGGAATTAATGAGGAGCCTTAGAATTGTACTTCATTCTATGATGTAATTTAAAATCTCCAAAGATTTAGATACTGCTGTTCATTAAATTCAAATATGTCATACACCTGACACCTTCTGGTTACAGGTAACCCCTTCACTTTTCATAATCAGTATCTACCTGAATGTTTGTATACAATTTTGCTTTATTATTAAAGTCTAAGATTTGTGTTTGGAAAATCAATTCAACTTTAAAATGATTTAAAATTTTAAAACTCATTTCTCAGAGATGTGTTTATCTTAAATTAATAGATTTTTCTTAATGAAATGCTGGTGTGTAGGTCTCAAATTTCATGAGTATGTGTTGTAATGACAGAGCTACCCTATTCACTTTGACCTCTGATTTACTGAAGATGATTTTCAAGAGCTTCTTTTTAAATGAATTTTTGATCTTTCATATTTTGTATTTTCAACTTGAACATCAGCTGCAAAGTATGAATAAATGGGGAAATGGTAATAAAACATTATTTATGGAATAGTAGGCTATATTACTCAACCACATGAAAGGTTTATTGATACATTTGGGAAACTAGGGCCACTTGATTTTTATTTTAAAATATTCTTTGAACATTTATTTGAAGGGGATCCAATTATATTTATATAGGGTCGATTCTGATTTCAATGTAAAATGTGCAGA